GGTCACCAGGGCAGCAGCCCAGGGAAAATGTTGTCTGCAATTTTACTGACGCACTTAACCTAAATGTCAGTCTGTGTGGAGGCTGCAGTGCACAGTTAGGAGGAGCTATAGGATGGAGGCTGTACTATAATAGTAACACATACTTATTTTATGGTCCTTTGCAGCTCAGTTGGTAGAGCTCTTGTAATGCCAGGGTAGTGGGTTTGATTCCCAGGACCACCCATATGTAAAATACCTTGTGTACAAAACATTAAGAACACCTTCCTCACATTGAGTTGCACCCACCAACTCTTTTGTTCTCAGAACAGCCTCAATGTGTCAGGGCATGGACTCTACAAGGTGTCGAAAGCGTTTAACAGGGATGCTGGTCCATGTTGACTCCAATGCTTCCCACAGTTGTGTCAAGTTGGCTGGATGTCCTTTGGGTGATGGACCATTTTTGATACACACTGGAAACTATTGAGCGTGAAAAACCAAGCAGTGTTGCAGTTCTTGACCCAAACCAGTGCGCCTGGCACCTACTACCATACCCAGTTCAAAGGCACTTACATCTTGCCCATTCACCCTCTGAATGGCACACATACACGATCCATGTCGCAATTGTCTCTAGGCTTAAAAATCCTTCTGTAACCCGTCTCCTCCCCTTCATCTACACTGATTTAGTGGATTTAACAAGTGACATCAATAAGGGATCATATCTTTCACCTGTTCGGTCTATGTCATGGAAAGAGCAGGTGTCCTTAATGTGTTGTACAATCAGTGTACCTTGGATAAAAGCGTCTGCTTAAAGAGATACTTCGGGATTTGGCAATGAGACCCTTTATCTACTTCCTGTTACGTTCCCAGCTGACAATCTCAAAATGTCGCTCACAACAAAGGGAACTAACAAAGAAAAACAAAACAAAACAGAAAGGGGTTCAATAGGGGTTCTGAAAAGGCATCCATGTGGGTGCCCACTGAAAGTTGGCAAAGCCACTAGTAAGGGGTTCTAAAAGACACCCATCATGGATGCCCACTAGGTTTGCCTCCGAAAAGACAAACTAAAAGAAAAACCCACAACTTAGCGTCTTGCCTTGTCTTGGAAGTAAAAGAATATGGCGCAAAGTAAACAGGGGGAACACCAAAAATCAGGCTTCTTTCAAACCCAAATAGGTTGAGCTCGAAATAGCACCTCAGCTGACGTGACGTGTAGGTCTCCCAACATCTCTCAAGCTCAGCTGGAGCACTGGGCCAGCCACTCTTAAATATCACCTGGGCTAGCACAGGTGAAACACCTTCCGACTAACGAGATGGACAAGCCAGCACAGATATAACACATACTTACTAACGAGGTGACACCAATCGGTGCACCCTATGTGCTAATGTTCTACCTCGAAATATAAATGGAAAAACCAAAACTGGTAACATTCCCCAGAGTCAGATGAACTTGTGGATACCATTGTTATGTCTCTGCATGCAGTTTGAAGGAAGTTGCTAACTAGTGAAAATAATGTTTCTGTGCTCTTGTCTTGCCTTTTGATGGGCTGTGTTTTCTCCAACACAGCCACTATAACCAGCTGGATAATGTCTATTTATTTTTCAGACAGGTAGCCTATTTCCTGTGTATTGTCAGCCCTAATCATGTGGCCACTGTAGATGAAGGGACGATCCCATACCCATTTTATTTTTGTCCCGTCTATATAGTTAACTGGGCGATTCCTCATAAGTATCATCTCTGTGGGTAAATCCCAGGTGCAAAGGTTTGAGTGGGGAGGATGATAAAGGTTTGAGTGGGGAGGATGATAAAGGTTTGAGTGGGGAGGATGATAAAGGTTTGAGTGGGGAGGATGATAAAGGTTTGAGTGGGGAGGATGATAAAGTGGCCGAGGTGTGAGGAGGCTGAGGCCTATAAATAGTCGAGAAGGCTGCTGCCACTTGACTCCTGATGAGACACCGCAAATCATCCCAGTCAGGGGTGATTAGCTGTTTTTTGTGTGTTTTTTATCGCACATCATCCACCAAGATGTAGAGAATTAGTGAAGAACGAATGACGCGGATTGCTTATATGCAGTCAGGTCCCAAATTATTGGCACCCTTGATAAAGACTGTATAAAATAAAGAATACAACTAATGAGCTTTATTGTACAAAAAATTGGCATGTTGTGTTTGAGACTGTAGCTCTCAGAATTAAGGGGTGGGTGGAGTGGGAGTGGAAATGTCTAATGGACAGGATTCTACAGAGACCAGGTTGTATATGAGGGCACTTTACGAGGAGAACAAACCCTGGGGCTTTGGTTTCTCTCTCTGTCACTGCTACAAAGCAAGGTTTATTTAGATTTATGAGTACCTGAAAAAGCTCTACATGTCTGGTCTGGTCTCACTGCAGGTTCTTTCTGCCAAAGCAGTGCAGCAGATACATTAAATGTGGTCGTTTCCCCCATTTTGCAGACAGTAAGATCCAATTGTACTGCATCATGCCTTTATGTCCAGTCATTTTTCACAAATTTCATTTGTTCCTTTTTTTACACAGAAAACATCACATAAGGTTAAACGATTTTATGATGAATATAGTAAAACAGTAGACATACCCCTTGACAACTATTGAATTAAAAAGACACGCTAGATTCAATTACTATTTGAACACTGAATACCATCTATTGTCCAGGCCATGCTCTTGGCTTTGGGTCTTGCATGGACAATTAGGCAGAGATGTCAAAGGTGTGAGATGTGTAATAATTGTACAAGCTTGCATCGCTCTCACATCAATATTTCATTTGAGGTGTGTGTGTGTATGTGCCTGGGAGACCAATAAATGCACATCTCAATAAACTGCTGGTACTTGAAATTGTATTACAGCAATACAACTCTGTATTACAGCAATAAAACACTAAACATAAATACACTCAGAGGGCTAATTTGTTCTGATGGTTTTTGTTTAGGGTTTTGAGCACCGGCGGCGGGAGATACTTAGAAGCCCTTAGCTATATCACTCATTGATACATTGAAGGTACATTAAACTTCATAGGGGGTTAGTCACCCAACTACCCACTCAGATAATTCCAATATCCCAAAAGTTAATCACAGTGTAAGTAAGCCACATAATTTTTAGTGACTGTGAAATTCCAGCATTTTATTTTAGAGTATGCAATGATTACCAGTTGTCCTACATTCTCTCCACCACGAGGATGTGCTGACTGGACTGTTGGGGGAAAATGTGTCTCCCAAATCCAGGTTGCGTCCCAAATGGCACCCTATTCCCTATGTAGCACACTACTTTTGACCAGGGCCCATAGGGCTCTGGTCAAAAGTAGTACACTATGCAGAGAATATGGTGCCATTTGGGACGCAGGCCAGATCCTGTGCCACAGCAGCAGGCTCAGCACCTTCCCTTATGATAAACAGAGCTTATTAAACCACCACCAGACCAAGATTCAGCCTTATAGCTCCACCCTTTGTGCTACTTGCTTTATCTCTGCCTCAGGAAAGAGATACAAAATCTTAATTTAAAATCTCACTTCTGAGATTAAGGGCAAACAATAATTTGAGATAGCATTCGTTCAGTTAGGTTTATAGAAAAAGAGTCTGGTTATGAGTGAAGGCAATGCTCCCCTGTGATTCAATTCTAATTTCTGCCTATTTAATCAGTATCTGGATCCTTAACCTGGAAATGTTCAATTAGAAATATAAAATATTATCACCTCCAATAGGGAACAGAACACTTCGGCCTAATGTTTTATCAGCACTCCAGTCTGATTAGTTAGAGTAGCTATTTTCTACAAGCTTCCATTTCTTTTTTTACTTAGGCTACCGTAGGAGACTTTAGTTACTGGTTGTGAATTTGACAGCTTTACTAGAAACCTAATGTATAATTCATGTGTTTTCATCATGTATAATTAATTAGACAGGACAGCTGTTTTAGGGAGATAGTAACCTACATTCTAATGCTTTCCATCTCTACACTCAATTTATGGCCTTACATTTTCCACTGGGGTTGGAAGGTCACATCCCCCCAAAGCCACCCAATAGCAATGCCCCAATCCTTTCATAGACATTAATTACATTCTATCAATATGTTTGGTTGTGACGCTCCACTCATTATCCCTATGGGAAATGCAGATAAAGACTGAAGCACTTTTTGAATTTATATTGATGCGGTAACAGTTTTTCCATACTGGCCCCACTCCAATATGTGTTGCCCACTCCCAGTGCGAGTCCTATGCAAACACATTTGTAATAATCATAGAAAGAACGGTTATTCTACCTGTGTGGCTCTGCTCCTTGGTAAAATGGATTGTGGGGCTGTTTCTGGAGTAAGACTGTAATTACATTTAGCTCATTTGAAAGTCAAACAGTGAGCACTTGCACTCTGCGCCTGTATGTGCGAGAGAGAGAGAGACAGAGAGAGAGAGAGATGGCTGAAGGCTTATTTCTCATTACTTTAAATTCCTGCAAGGATTATTTGTAGTCAAAGACATGTAACTCAGTCCAGACTTGTATTATTCAGGGTTCAAGCTGAATCGTGCCAGAGCATGACACCTGAATTAGCACCATTTTAGGCCTCTGCCCTTTAGGTGAGGACAGACTTGGCAAAACAAATAGCTCATTAGAATAGGCATCGGCCCACAGAATAAGCATTTTATCATTAAGATATATTTGATCATTTGATTTAGAGACATGTTGCTCACAGCACCCATTTACAGTGCAATAATGTACAACAAAAGAAAATCAACTAATTTATGAATAAGGTCCTGCTGAACTCTGTTAAACCACCAGGAGGCAGGCTGACCGATTTTGTGACAGATGATTGACGACTAAACTCCTACTGTACATCATGTGCCATGCTTATTGACCCCCATCATGATTGTATTTCTCAATAATCCATTGAAATGAATGCTATGACATGGCTTATTTGGTGGCGGCAGCTCAGTTGCAATCGGATTTTGAGCACTTTCAAAACACATTGCTCAGCAGTGTGATGTCTGTAAATGAAACCATTGCCTTGCCTGTATCTGATCTCACTCATGCCTACTGTATCTACTCTTTCTTTCCAATCCAACGCCCTTCCCTTTCATTTCTCTTTCTTCCCCTTTTCTTTCTTCTCAACCATCTCCATCCCTTCATACATCCCTCCATTGCCTCCTCCAGAAATCTCCTTCAGCTTCCTGCTCCTGGTGTTCGTGGCCTGTGGCCTGGCCCTGCTGGGCGTCATCGTCTTTGCCTCCTGGAAGCTGTGCTGGGTGCCCTGGCGCACCAAGGACCTCTCCTCCAGTGCCACCAACCTTGCCCCTGCCGCCGGTCCCCCCTCCTCTGCTTCTGTCAGACCCTACGACAGAGCCTTCCCAGCACATGCCCACAGGCCTACACTCGTACGCGCACACACGCACGTGCACGCAATGGCGTCTGACAAGCTGAATCCTTCGGACCCAGCGAGTTTCCTTGAGGCGGCAGTGAAGATCAGCCACACATCACCTAACATCCCTGCCGAGGTGCAGCTGTCCATGAAAGACCACTTCCTACGCCGCACGCGCATGGCCAGGCAGACCACCGAGCCTGCCTCCTCCAATAGGTCAGGCTCCGTGAGGAAGTTGCCCTTAGACACAGACCTAGGCAGCGTCCCAAATTGTATCCTATTCCTAATATAGTGCACTACTTTTGACCAGAGCCCTATGGGCCCTTTTCAAAAGGAGTGCACTATACTGTATAGGTAATAGGATGCCATTTGGGAGGCATCCCTAGTATCAGCTTATTACTGTATCCTTCCCAAATCCTAACCATTTGGGTGGAGTAACACAAAACGGACCTAATATCCGTGTCTACGGGCATCCTACTTAAATAGGTAATCCAGGGCTCCTCTGATCCCCAGTGTTTATGCCCCGGCCATGTATTAGTATTGAGGTAATAGTATGTGATGTTGTCAGGAAGTGGCTATTTGTAGTGTATCATAGTGGTACAGAGATATGATTCATTACGCATCATATCTACCCCTGTAATAACTCAATTTGTGACTTGTAAAATGAGATAGATAAAAAAGCAATGAGGTTGTCAGTTGAATGCCCATACTGTCGTGGCGCTCCTATTGAGCTAAATGAAGAAAAATCTAAATCATCTAATATCAGAAAAAGCAATTACATTTACTCTAAATTGGAATCTGACAACGTTATTCAGCAGGGATGCCAGGGCACAGATTTCCCAGGCATGCCATATGGTACTACAATTATTCCACTGTTTGAGTGTGTAAATTGTCCATGATAATGATTTAACTGGCAAAAATGTCTCCATGTCTCCAGGCACAGCTCCTTTAAGAAGCACCTCCCCCGACAAATTCACCATGTCACCAGCCTTGACCGAGGCAGCGACTTCCCCTATGCAGAGGACCAATCCACCAGCCTAGCCAGTTTGGGCCGCATCCAGCCAGAGCTCTACAAGCAGAGCCTCCTGGAGGCCGACGAGTCCTCCAAGACCTGTGGCAAGATCAACTTCTCCCTCAAGTACGACTATGAGTCCGAGGCGCTCCTCGTCAACATCCTCAAGGCGTTCGACCTGCCCGCCAAGGATTTATGCGGCAGCTCCGACCCCTACGTCAAAATCTACCTCCTGCCTGACCGCAAGCGCAAGTTCCAGACCCGCGTCCATCGCAAGACGCTCAACCCCATTTTTGACGAGTCCTTCCAGTTCACCGTGCCCTACGAGGAGCTGGGCAGCAGGAAGCTGCACCTGAGCATCTTTGACTTTGACCGCTTCTCCAGCCACGACATGATCGGCGAGGTCATTCTAGAGAACCTGTTTGAGGCATCGGACCTCTCTCGCGAGACGGCCGTCTGGAAGGACATTCACTACGCCACCTCTGTAAGTCAATCAATGAACCAATCAAATGTATTTTATAAAGCCCTTTTTACATCAGCAGTTGTCCATAGACTGCTTTCAAAGTAGTGAAACAAATATCTAAATATGTAAAATCATTACTACACTTTTAAAAATATTAGTGCCATTGTAATGTGTGATAGCTGTTTCCTTCTGTTCTGATGTGTTTTGTCTGTGGCCTTGAACACAGGAGAGTGTAGACCTGGGGGAGATCATGTTCTCTCTCTGTTACCTGCCAACCGCAGGCCGACTCACCATGACCATCATCAAGTGCAGGAACCTCAAGGCCATGGACATCACAGGATACTCAGGTATAGTTGTGTCATTGGGTTCACTTTAAAAGGTTTTGTGTTTTTTTTTTTCCTTAAACACTGTTGTCCACTCTTGTTCTAAGCATTGATTTGGCTATCTCTCTGGTAAAAGAGTGTAGGCCTATGCTAAATTACAAGACACAAATGTAATCTGGTTTGGTATCACATCTCTGTTTTGGTAACATCTCTGGTTTGGTAACTCCCCCACGACGCCAGGACACCGGAGTCACTGACCACCTTCCGGAGACACTTGAAACCCTACCTCTATAAGGAATACCTGGAATAGTATAACAGTAATCCTTCTACCCCCCCTCCCCCACCCCCCATTAAAAAAAAGATTTAAAAAAGAAACAACATTTTTTTTTTTAATAAAGGGTGGTTGTCCCACTAAGTTGAATGCACCAATTTGTAAGTCGCTTGGGATAAGAGCGTCTGCTAAATGACTAAAATGTAAATGTAACACGAGCCATACTTAGCTAATTTACATATTCCATAATGTAGCTAGAGTCAGATCAGCTTGATCCTTTAAGTAGCTAAGCACTTTTAGTTTGAAAGAAACCTAATAATATTTTTTCTTGTTTATTGACAGACCCATATGTCAAGGTCTCCCTCGAGAGTGAAGGACGGCGCTTAAAAAAGAAGAAAACCACCATCAAGAGGAACACTTTGAACCCCACCTATAACGAAGCTATCATCTTCGACATCCCCCCTGAGAACATGGACCAAGTCAGCCTGCACATATCCGTCATGGACTATGATTTGTATGCCATTATCAAATCAAATCAAATTGTATTTGTCACATGCACCAAATACAACAGGTGTAAACCTTACAGTGAAATGCTTACTTAACCAACAATGCAGTTTTAAGAAAGAATACCTAAAAAAACTAAGAAATAAAAGTAACAAATAAGTAAAGAGCAGCAGTAAAATAACAATAGCGAGGCTATATATACGGGGTAAAATGTAGATGTAGTTAGAGTTATTAAAATGACTATGCATAGATAATAAACAGAGTAGCAGCAGTGTAAAATAGGGGAGGGGGGGCAATGCAAATAGCCTGGGTAGCCATTTGATTAGATGTTCAGGAGTCTTATGGCTTGGGGGTAGAAGCTGTTTAGAAGCCTCTTGGACCTAGACTTGGCGCTCCGGTACCACTTGCCGTGCGGTAGCAGAGAGAACAGTCTATGACTAGGGTGGCTGGAGTCTTTGACAATTTTTAGGGCCTTCCTCTGACACCGCCTGGTATAGAGGTCCTGGATGGCAGGAAGCTTGGCCCCAGTGATATACTGGGCCCTACGCACCCTCTGTAGTGCCTTGCAGTCGGAGGCCGAGCAGTTGCCATACCAGGCAGTAACGCAACCAGTCAGGATGCTCTCGATGGTGCAGCTGTATAACTTTTTGAGGATCTGAGGACCCATGCCAAATCTTTTCAGTCTCCTTAGGGGGAATAGGTTTTGTCGTGCCCTCTTCAAGACTGTCTTGGTATGCTTGGACCATGATAGTTTGTTGGTGATGTGGACACCAAGGAACTTGAAGCTCTCAACCTGCTCCAATACAGCCCCGTCGATGAGAATGGGGGCGTGCTCAGTCCTCTTCTTTTTCCTGTAGTCCACAATCATCTCCTTTGTCTTGATCACATTAAGGGAGAGGTTGTTGTCCTGGCACCACACGGCCAGGTCTCTGACCTCCTCCTTATAGGCTGTCTCGTCGTTGTCGGTGATCAGGCCTACCACTGTTGTGTCATTGGCAAACTTAATGATGGTGTTGGAGTCGTGCCTGGCCATGCAGTCATGAGTGAACAGGGAGTACAGGAGGGAACTGAGCACGCACCCCTGAGGGGCCCCCGTGTTGAGGATCAGTGTGGCGGATGTGTTGCTACATATCCTTACCACCTGGGGGTGGCCCATCAGGAAGTCCAGGATCCAGTTGCAGAGGGAGTTGTTCAGTCCCAGGGTCCTTAGCTTAGTGATGAGCTTTGAAGGAACTATGGTGTTGAACGCTGAGCTGTAGTCAATGAATAGCATTCTCACATAGGTGTTCCTTTTGTCTAGGTGTGAAAGGGCAGTGTGGAGCACAATAGAGATTGCATAATCTGTGGATCTGTTGGGGCGGTATGCAAATTGGAGTGGGTCTAGGGTTTCTGGGATAATGGTGTTGATGTGAGCTATGACCAGCCTTTCAAAGCACTTCATGGCTACAGACGTGAGTGCTATGGGTCGGTAGTCATTTAGGCAGGTTACCTTAGTGTTCTTGGGCACAGGGACAATGGTGGTCTGCTTGAAACATGTTGGTATTACAGACTCAGACAGGGAGAGGTTGGAAATGTCAGTGAAGACACTTGCCAGTTGGTCAGCGCATACTCAGAGTACACGTCCTGGTAATCCGTCTGGCCATGCAGCCTTGTGAATGTTGACCTGTTTAAAGGTCTTACTCACATCGGCTACGGAGAGCGTGATCACACAGTCGTCCGGAACAGCTGGTGCTCTCATGCATGTTTCAGTGTTACTTGCCTCGAAGCGAGCATAGAAGTGATTTAGCTTGTCTGGTAGGCTCGTGTCACGGGGCAGCTTGCGGCTATGCTTCCCTTTGTAGTCTGTAATTGTTTGCAAGCCCTGCCATGAGCGTCGGAGCCGGTGTAGAACGATTCAATCTTAGGTGTATGTAAACTTCCGACTTCAACTGTAGGTAGAGTTATTAAAGCGACTATGCATATATAATAAACAGAGAGTAGCAGCAGTGTAAAGGGGTGGGGGGGGGCAATAAAAAATAGTCTGGGTAGCCATTTGATTACTTACTTCAGGATGTATTTGAAAGTAATTGAGATATTGGAAGTAGTATTTGAACCTAGGTCTGGTTTGTTTATGCTACAACCATGAGAGTCCAACTAATACTGTCGGTTCTGCTAATAGTAGAAGAGAAAATGTGAAGTTACATTATTCCAGATGTGGCTGAAGTGTTAATGGGTGCATTTTGCCTTTTTTCTACACAGGGTGGGACACAATGAAATCATAGGTGTGAACAGAGTGGGCAGTCATGCGGAGGGACTGGGAAGAGACCACTGGAACGAGATGTTGGCCTATCCCCGGAAGCCCATCGCTCACTGGCACCCTCTACTGGAGGCCACCAAGTCTCAGAAAGAGGTAGGTTGGCTACTCAAAGTTTCCCTGATAGCTGCTTTATTAAGGAAAGTATAACTTGCAATGACTGTGATATGGTTGATGTGGTTGTCTAACCTACCTTAGTTGAATGCACTGACTGTGTGTCACTTTGGATAAGAGCATCTTCTATGTTATCAAAATGTAAATGTATGTACACTGAACAAAAATATAAATGCAACATCTAAAGTGTTGGTCCCATGTTTCATATACTGAAATAAAAGATCCCAGAAATGTTCCATACGCACAAAAAGTTTATTTCTCTCAAATGTTGTGCACAAATTTGTTTACATCCCTGTTAGTGAGCCTTTCTCTTTTGCCAAGATAATCCATCCACCTGACAGGTGTGGCATATCAAGAAGGTGATTAAACAGCATTATCATTACACAGGTGCACCTTGTGCTGGGGACAATAAAAGGCCACTCTAGAATGTGCAGTTTTGTCACAACACAATGCCACAGGTGTCTCAGGTTTTGAGGGAACGTGCAATTGGCATGCTGACTGCAGGAATGTCCACCAGAGCTGTTGCCAGATAACGTAATGTTAATTTCTCTACCATAAGCCGCCTCCAACTTCATTTTAGAGAATTTGGCTGTACGACCAACGCAGAACACGTGTATGGTGTCGTCTGGGTGAGCGGTTTGCTGATGTCAATGTTGTGAACAGCGTGCCCCATGGTGGCGGTGGGGTTATGGTATGGGCAGGCATAAGGACAACGAACACAATGGCAATTTGAATGCACAGAGACACCGTGATGAGATCCTGAGGCCCATTGGAGTGCCATTTATCAACCGCCGTCACCTCATGTTTCAGCATAATAATGCACAGCCCCATGTCGCAAGGATCTGTACACAATTCCTGGAAGCTGAAAATTTCCCAGTTCTTCCATGGCCTGTATACTCACCAGACATGTCACCCATTGAGTATGTTTGGGATGCTCTGAATTGACGTGTACGACAGCGTGTTCCAGTTCCCGCCAATATACAACAACTTCACACAGCCATTGAAGAGGAGTGGGACAACATTCCACAGGCCACAATCAACAGCCTGATCAACTCTTATGCGAAGAAGATGTGTCATGCTGCATGAGGCAAAATGGTTGTCAACACCAGATATTGACTGGTTTTCTGATCCATCTGTGACTAACTGGTTTTCTGATCCATCTGTGACTAACAGATGCATATCTGTATTTTCAGTCATGTGAAATCCATAGATTAGGGCCTAATTTATTTATTTAAATTGACTGATTTCCTTATATGTACTGCAACAGTAAAATCTTTGAAATTGTTGCATGTTGCGTTTATATTTTTGTTCAGTATATACAGTGCATTCGGAAAGTATTCAGACCCCTTCCCTTTTTCCACATTTTGTTACATTACAGCCTTATTCTAAAATGGATTAAATAAAAACATATCCTCAATCTATACACTACCCCATAATGACAAAGCGAAACAGGTTTTTAGAAATCTTTGCAAATGTATTAAAAATAAAAAACAGAAATATCTTATTTACATAAGTATTCAGACCCTATGCTATAAGACTCGAAATTGAGCTCAGGTGCATCCTGTTTCCATTGATCATACTTGAGATGTTTCTAAAACTTGATTGGAGTCCACCTGTGGTAAATTCAATTGATTGGACATGATTTGGAAAGGCACACACCTGTCTATATAAGGTCTCACAGTTGACAGCACACAGCCAAGACAACGCAGCAGTGGCTTCAGTGGCTTCGGGACAAGTCTCTGAATGTCCTTGAGTGGCCCAGCCAGAGCCCGGACTTGAACCCGATCAAACATCTCTGAAGAGACCTGAAAATAGCTGTGCAGCGACGCTCCCCATCCAACCTGACAGAGCTTGAGAGGATCTGCAGAGAAGAATGGGAGAAACTTTGTCATTATGTGTGTAGATTGATGAGGGGAAAAAAACAATTTAATCCATTTTAGAATAAGGCTGTAACGTAACAAAATTTTGAAAATGTGAAGGGGTCTGAATACTTTATGAATACACTGTATACACTACCAGTCAAAAGTTTGGACACATTCAAGGGTTTTTCTTTATTTTTACTATTTTCTACATTGTAGAATAATAGTGAAGACATCAAAACTATGAAATAACACATATGAAATCATGTAGTAACCAAAAAAGTGTTAAACAAATCAAAATATAAATCAAATCAAATTTTATTTTCCACATGTGCCGAATACAACAGGTGTTGTCTCCTGAGTGGCGCAGTGGTCTAAGGCACTGCATCGCAGTGCCAGCTGTGCCACTAGAGATCCTGGTTCGAATCCAGGCTCTGTCATAGCCGGCCGTGACCGGGAGACCCATGGGGCGGCGCGCAATTGGCCCAGCGTCGTCCAGGGTAGGGGAGGGAATGGCCGGCAGGGATGTAGCTCAGTTGATAGAGCATGGCGTTTGCAACGCCAGGGTTGTGGGTTCGATTCCCACAGGGGGTATGAAAAATAAATAATGTAAGTCGCTCTGGATAAGAGCGTCTGCTAAATGACGTAAATGTAAATGTAAATAAATGTAAATGTAGACATTACAGTGAAATGCTTACTTACAAGCCCATAACCAACAATGCAAAGGACCTCAACTCAATATGTTATATTTGAGATTCTTCAAATAGCCACCCTTTGCCTTGATGACAGCTTTGCACACTCTTGGCATTTTCACAACCAGCTTCATGAGGTAGTCACCTAGAATGCATTTCAATGAACAGGTGTACCTTCTTAAAAGTTAATTTGTGGAATATTTTTTGATTTGTTTAACACTTTTTTGGTTACTACATGATTCCATGTGTTATTTCATAGTTTTGATGTCTTCACTATTATTCTACAATGTAAAAAATAAAGAAAAACCCTTGAATGAGTAGGTGTGTCCAAACTTTTGACTGGTATTGTATCTATCTATGTAGGATTTCTGATGGTAGGTAAACTCCTAACAGTGACAGCAATTTCCATGCTGGTACACTAATCTTACCATGTGAAATGTCTCCTACAGTGGAAAACCCGCACAGCAAGCTTTGACAGCCAAGGCTCCTGCCCCTCTCCAAGACTCCTGTCTAGTCCATGAGGGAGGAGTAAGAGTTTATATTCCACTACTCTACAAAGCCTGCCCTGCAGCAAGGCCTGAAATATTGGAGTGTCCCAGACCCACAAATTCTGTGCCTCAAAATAAGTAAATTGCAGTAAGTTGTTCTGGAATAACAGTCGGTCTACACTGGACATTATCTCCAAAGCACACAGACAGACACAGAAACACACACACACACACATTTCTCTTATGCCCTCTTGGACAGCCACTTTGCCATGGTATGTATAGCTTATAGTGTATACTGGGTCTGGTGGGATCATTGTTATTGCAACAATATTTTTGCAGTTGAGCTCAGCCTGGTGTGTTTATACATCTGAGGTTAACATCTATGTGTATATGTCTGAAGTTTGGTCAGGGAGTTGTGTTGTGGCAGTCTTGTGAACATACAACATCATATTAAATAGGTCAAATGTTATAGTTGCTGCTGTTGAGTGCAGGACGTTCTTGAAGTACCCTACGACTTACAGTACCCTACCCTACAGCAAGTCCAAAACAATCAACAGGGTATTATGAAGTGAACAATTTTATACACATTTGTTTTGTTATTGAAATCATTGTTGGTTTACTACAGTGGATGGTCCAGGAGGACAAATGTTACATCCCTTTACTTTATTTGTGTTTGTTTTATGTACACAACATACACCACACCTGGCCATCATATATTTTTGATGTCTTAAGTGTAGCTGCATTACGTGCTAAATACGTAGATAGCGTCATTACAAACACTGTGGTTTAGTTTGTGGCGGTACAGTACTGTTAAAATTACACTGAAGGTATGGACTTAAAATGTACAATAGTATATGTATATAATGCCCTTTGATACTGACATCAATAATAGCACTGTATTTAGAATCACATATTTATGATATTATCCACATGACTATCCCCTGACCTTACTTTTCTGTTTCAATTTCACAGTGACTAAAGCTTCACTGCTCTGTTGTTTTTCCTATTACCTATGAAGTGTTTGCCAATAGTCTCCTGTTTAGGCAATGTCATGTACTTTGTTGAGGGACTTGGCTTGACCCTTGACCCCTTTGCCTCATCAGCCTTTTGATAAGTGTTTAAAATAATTACTCTCTGTTTTTTCTAAGCAATTAAGAGTAACTTTCCACTTTTGTATTGAACATTTGTATTTGTAACATAACTGTTTCCAGGCATCCCTTGTATTTTAAACAAGTGACAATAAAGTTGTTGATTCTGGTTCTAACATTCCAAATTGAGTGCCGATATACACTACCGGTCAAAAGTTTTAGAACACCTACTCATTCGAGGGTTTTTCTTTATTTTTACTATTTTCTACATTGTAGAATAATAGTGAAGACATCAAAACTATGAAATAACACATGGAATCATGTAGTAACCAAAAAAGTGTTAAACAAATCAAAATATATTTTATATTTGAGATTCTTCAAATAGCCACCCTTTGCCTTAATGACAGCTTTGCACACTCTTGGCATTCTCTCAACCAGCTTCATGAGATAGTCACCTGGAATGCATTTCAATTAACAGGTGTGCCTTCTTAAAAGTTAATTTGTGGAATATCTTTCCTTCTTAATGTGTTTGAGCCAATCAGTTGTGTTGTGACAAGGTAGGGAGGGTATACAGAAGATAGCCCTATTTGGTAAAATACCAAATCCATATTATGGCAAGAACAGCTCAAATAAGCAAAGAGAAATGACAGTCTATTATTACTTTAAGACATGAAGGTCAGTGAAAACGGAAGATTTCAAGAACTTTGAAAGTTTCTTCAAGTGCAGTCGCAAAAACCATCAAGCGCTATGATTGACACTGGCTCTCATGAGGACTGCCACAGGAATGGAAGACCCAGAGTTCCTTCTGCTGCAGAGGATAAGTTCATTAGAGTTACCAGCCTCAGAAATTGCAGCCCAAATAAATGCTTCACAGAGTTCAAGTAACAGACACATCTCAACAGCAACTGTTCAGGGGAGACTGTGTGAATCAGGTCTTCGTGGCCGAATTGCTGCAAAGAAACCACTACTAAAGGACACCAATAAGAATAAACTTGGGCAATGGACATTAGACCGGTGGAAATGTGTCCTTTGGTCTGGAGTCCAAATTAGAGATTTTTGGTTACAACCACTGTGTCTTTGTAAGACGCGGTGTGGGTGAACAGATGATCTCCGCATGTGTATTTCCCACGTAAAGCATGGAGGAGGTGTTATGGTTGGGGGTGCTTTGCTGGTGACACTGTCAGTGATTTATTTACAATTCAAGGCACACTTAACCAGCATGGCTACCATAGCATTCTGCAGAGATACGCCATCCCATCTGGTTTGCGCTTAGTGGGACTATAATTTGTTTTTCAACAGCACAATGACCCAACACACCTCCAGGCTGTGTAAGGGCTATATGACCAAGAAGGAGAGTGATGGAGTGCTGCATCAGATGACCTGGCCTCCACAATCCCCCGACCTCAACCCAATTGAGATGGTTTGGGATGAGTGGGACCGCAGAGTGAAGGAAACGCAGCCAACAAGTGCTCAGCATATGTGGGAACTCCTTCGAGACTGTTAGAAAAACATTCCAGGTGAAGCTGGTTGAGAGAATGCCAAAAGTGTGCAAAGCTGTCATTAAGGCAAAGAGTGGCTATTTGAAGAATCTTAAATATAAAATATATTTTGATTTAACACTTTCTTTGTCACTACATCATTCCATATATGTTATTTCATAGTTTTGATGTCTTCACTATTATTCTACAATGTAGAAAATAGTAAAAGTAACGAAAAACCCTTGAATGAGTAGGTGTTCTAAAACTTTTGACCGGTAGTGTATGTTCCTCTTTTACTGTAACATGGAAGAAAAATAACTTACACACTTTCATCCAAGTATGTTTTTATTCAATATGAAGGCATAGCCAGAGAAAAAGGTAAAATTGTGGTTTTCAGAAGTGCCAAACAGAGAGATAAAACGGAAAACATACATATTATACAGCTGTGCTGTTTTTACTTTAGATTCTCTGATCTTTTTTGATCATCATATCAATATTTAATAACAAGCAATACCTAAAGTAAATGGATGTTTTTTCTCTTGGTAATCGACACAGGAAATACAATATGACAATGATCTGATTTCATTTAGGACAGTGTTCAAAATCATAACTGCAGCTGCAAGGCCCTGTGCCATACAGATGTAGGATCTTAATTTGAGCCAGTTTTTCGACAGCAGAAAAATTATCCTGCAGGAAACAGGACATGTGAATTATTATGTGGATTATAATAAATTGACATTTTTGAAGGGGTGATAAAAAATGTGTTAGGGCAAATCAAGTTTAAAGTGGAAATTACAAACTTTAGAAACCTTTTTAAACCTCGGATACACTACAAGCTTGCATTTCCTGCTGTGCAGGAAAATTCCTGCAACAGCAACATTATCAAATTTAGATACGGCATCTGTAGTTGAACAAACCATGTTAGTAATTTCATAACTTTGGTCATATCTATGTTATTGATCTTTGCTCCAGGCAAGATATAATATTAAAACATTCCACTGAATATGACAGTGAAAATATGTTTTATTTTCGTCTACACAGACATTTCTGGGCTTTTACTCAGTACAGATGATAGAAATCTCAAACCCACCTCAACACTAGGCGGCGCTGCTGAGCTCATGCCTCCAGTTTCTTCTTCATGGCCAGCTTGTAGAGGATCTGGTAGCCATCGTCCCAGGCGTAGATCGGCTGCTCCAGCAGGTTGTACTTGAGGCTGGAGTGAGCGCCGTAGCGCTTGGGAAAGTACACTAGCGGTGCATCGTCGTTGGTCACCATATCACTGACGTCAAAAACGCACAAGCGCTTTTCAGCGCAGTGTTGTAGACCACGTACACCGTGCCGCAGATGATGAAGGCAACCTCGGTGTTCTCCCTCGGGCACGACGTGTCCCACATCTGTTCGATGTCCAGCGTGTTGGCGTCCATTTTGGCCAGAGAGATGTGCCTCTCAGTCTCCTTTGTGGCGTAGATGGCCCAGAGGCCCTCCTTGTCTGCCGCCAGGACAATGACCGTCTCTGGGGTTAGGCCATAGATGGGGACGTGGTCCTGGACAGGGAACACGGCGCTGTCCGCCACAGAGCCGTTCCGCATGTCGTACTTGATCAGCCGCAGCTCCTTGCCCTCCTTCACGTAGTACGAGGGGTTGTTGTAGACGGTGTGGCCGCTGCCTCGCCAAGGGAATGGCAGCTTCATGGTCTTGCCCATGGATGTGCCCAAGGAGACGATGAAGTCCCTGACGGAGCCAAACTCATAGATGGTGTCCTCATCTGTGCCGTTGAAGACATAGACCTTGCCCGAGCTGCTACCCACATCTTTGGTCCACATGCCCTTTGGGCCTCTAACTCACTTCAAAATCTTCATGGCTTTGATGCTGGATATCATGTCCCTGCAGTCTGGGAGAGGAGAAGAGAGGTACATGACCCTTCCTGGTCCCACTTTAAATTTAGTTGGGCTAAAATCATGTTTTTTACATGGTAGTTAACATTACACAGCAGGTTCAGTGTAATTACAATGTAAACATTGTTACAGTCGAACTGTGATATCTGTTATACCAATATCATAAGACAAACTACAACATACCATATTGATAAAGCAACCAGAAGTGATACTAAGGGACTAGGTAAAGTTCAAGGGATAGTTCCATTAAAAAAAAATAGTTTTAGCTTATTTTCACTCCTCAGGCTTTTACATGATCTGAAGTATGTTTCAGATGTTCAACCTGATTGTGTCAGAAGAAAATGCCCCCCTAGTAGGCAACAGCACTCAGCTGATTTAATTACTGGGGAAATTAAAAAACAATTTAATTACAAGTGTGTGGCTACATTTATAAGGATCATAGGCAATTAAATCTGATGAGTCACTGCATATTAATTTTTGCTCTAGTGCAACTGAAAGCAGATATTACAATTAAAGTGGTGCATAATTTAGAGAATAATATTTGAATCAGCATCGCATTTTCAGTCAGTCCTTCATCTATGTGCTTCATCAGCATGCTCTCATACAGTATCTCAGTGCAGTCCACCCACTTCCTGTACTTCAACAACCAAGTGTAAACAGTTTCCTGAATACCTGCTCTAGGTTTATAATTATGCCTGCCAAGAAAACCAGATGGTGTGCTCTATGTTATCAACCCTAACCTTAATGTTTTAGAGTAGAACGAAAAGTGTTAAGCACAACATTGAATGAAATCCACTTAAATTATTTAATAAGAGCCTCTGAGAGAAGAATCCTGATATGAGGGTAGATTGATTTTCTAACTTAGTTACATGACAGTACAGCAGCTAAGACACTTGGCCTGCTTACATGTTTATCAACATCTCATACCTGTGGCCCACTATATCTCCTCTCATCATGTAGAAGAAGACTTGTTAAGGAACCAAGGTCTCGCATTACCCCTACTGCTGAGTTTACGTCATATGTTTGTCCTTTCAGTAGGCCTATGCCAGGCATATTCAAATATGGACCTCGAAGCCAGTTCCACTGCTGATTTCTATTGATTAATTCTTCCCCTCTAGGGATTTAGACCTGGGACACCAGGTGGGTGCAATTAATTACCAGGCTTGCTATGATCCTCTTAGTAAGTAATCATGTGTCTTTGTCCCCTCAGTATGTCACCACGTCTGCCACCATGTCTGCCACATCTCACCTGTGGCCTTGTCGTATTTGGCCTTGTTCTTCTCCTTCACCACGGTCACCTGTTGTTCCACTAACTTGTCATCCACGTCCACGCAGGGCTGCGCCCCATTCTGTGTCTCAAGGTAGTCCATCTCGCGGTCCACGCGCGTCCCCCACACTGTCCAGGTCCGTCCTCAGGGTCTCCTTGTCTTTGTCCAGGGTCTCAATCTGGGCAACCATCTGCTGGTTGAACTCCCGCAGCTCTGTGGCATAGCGGTTGGTCTGCTCGTGCCATACCGAGATACCATCCTGGTGGGAGAGGTGAGAGGTGGCAGGTAGCTTAGTGGTTAAGAGTGTTGTGCCAGTAACCGAAAGGTCGCTGGTTCTAATCCCCGAGCCGACTAGGTGAAAAATCTGTCGATGTGACCTTGAGCAAGGCACTTAACCCTAATTGCTCCTGTAAGTCGCTCTGGATAAGAGTGTCTGCTAAATGACAAAAAGAAAAAAAAAAGAAGACAGTTAGAGCAAGTAGTTCTGGAGGCATATGGGTGTTGTCCCTATTTCACAGGATGAATTAAAACCCTGTTCCCTGGGGCCACTGCCACAGTCATCACCAATGGTATGGCTTCTAAAGAACCAATAGTATGGTTCTTTAGTATGGTTCTTTAGTATGGTTCCAATAGTATGGTTCTCTACCTGGCGCTTGCAACGCCAGGTAGAGCCTGGCGTTGCAAGCGCCATGCTCTACCAACTGAGCTACAGTGGACTTACCTCGATGTCTAGCAGACGCTGCTCCAGGTAGTCCATCAGGGCTTGTTGCTGGGCGTCAGCCAGACAGGTCAAGGTGACAAGGATGAGAAAAGCCCTCATTTTATGGTAAAGTGTTGTCCACTGATTGCTAAATACCACATTAGGGATGTTTATAGGTTACTTTAGGTTTGTTTTTATTAGTTTTCTATGTTTTGTAGAGACTGAAATACATTGAAACGTATGCTTGATGACTCGTATCACACTAAAATGCAATGTTTAGACAAGTTAAAGCAAAATATTGTTTGCATAGTTGTCACTCTTGATTAGAAATTGTCACTCTTGATTAAAAACTAGTTTTTCACTCCTGTTAGTATTTGATTTAGTTTAATGTTTTTCAAAGTAAACTCTTAAGCATTGATGGGAAGCAAATGCTGACGCAACGCTGAGAGTGGAGGAAAACCTTTTTGCCAAATAGAAGATCCTTTCTCCCCTCATGTTTTTATTGGAACACTAACGTTCTCTTACATAACCAACATTCAACTAGCTCAGGCTTAACATTGTCATTTTTTCCCCTTTCCTTTTCCTTTAACATAGTATTATATCATCAGTTTCACTATGTTCTATAACTGTTCATGTGATGATTTACATTTCTGACAGAGACCATTGTTCATGTTCACACACTACTATCAGTCAAAAGGAGAAGTTGTTGGTTAAAGGAAACTGTCATTCCACGTATGGTTTTCACAGCCTATGAGCATATCAAGTTCTCATCAAGTTATCATTAGAGTAAGTTGTATCTATAATATGACTCATCTGATGACACGTCTGATTTATTAATGTGCACGGTCATATAGGGTCTGGCAAGTCCCATTTTGATATTATTATATATACAGTGGGGGAAAAAAGTATTTAGTCAGCCACCAATTGTGCAAGTTCTCCCACTTAAAAAGATGAGAGAGGCCTGTAATTTTCATCATAGGTACACGTCAACTATGACAGACAAATTGAGAGAAAAAAAATCCAGAAAATCACATTGTAGGATTTTTAATGAATTTATTTGCAAATTATGGTGGAAAATAAGTACTTGGTCACCTACAAACAAGCAAGATTTCTGGCTCTCACAGACCTGTAACTTATTCTTTAAGAGGCTCCTCTGTCCTCCACTCGTTACCTGTATTAATGGCACCTGTTTGAACTTGTTATCAGTATAAAAGACACCTGTCCACAACCTCAAACAGTCACACTCCAAACTCCACTATGGCCAAGACCAAAGAGCTGTCAAAGGACACCAGAAACAAAATTGTAGACCTGCACCAGGCTGAGAAGACTGAATCTGCAATAGGTAAGCAGCTTGGTTTGAAGAAATCAACTGTGGGAGCAATTATTAGGAAATGGAAGACATACAAGACCACTGATAATCTCCCTCGATCTGGGGCTCCACGCAAGATCTCACCCCGTGGGGTCAAAATGATCACAAGAACGGTGAGCAAAAATCCCAGAACCACACGGGGGGACCTAGTGAATGACCTGCAGAGAGTTGGGACCAAAGTAACAAAGCCTACCATCAGTAACACACTACGCCGCCAGGGACTCAAATCCTGCAGTGCCAGACGCGTCTGAAGTTTGCTAGAGTGCATTTGGATGATCCAGTAGAGGATTGGGAGAATGTCATATGGTCAGATGAAACCAAAATATAACTTTTTGGTAAAAACTCAACTCGTCGTGTTTGGAGGACAAAGAATGCTGAGTTGCATCCAAAGAACACCATACCTACTGTGAAGCATGGGGGTGGAAACATCATGCTTTGGGGCTGTTTTTCTGCAAAGGGACCAGGACGACTGATCCGTGTAAAGGAAAGAATGAATGGGGCCATGTATCGTGAGATTTTGAGTGAAAACCTCCTTCCATCAGCAAGGGCATTGAAGATGAAACGTGGTTGGGTCTTTCAGCATGACAATGATCCCAAACACACCGCCCGGGCAACGAAGGAGTGTCTTCGTAAGAAGCATTTCAAGGTCCTGGAGTCTCCAGATCTCAACCCCATAGAAAATCTTTGGAGGGAGTTGAAAGTCCGTGTTGCCCAGCGACAGCCCCAAAACATCACTGCTCTAGAGGAGATCTGCATGGAGGAATGGGCCAAAATACCAGGAACAGTGTGTGAAAACCTTGTGAAGACTTACAGAAAACGTTTGACCTGTGTCATTGCCAACAAAGGGTATATAACAAAGTATTGAGAAACTTTTGTTATTGACCAAATACTTATTTTCCACCATAATTTGCAAATAAATTCATTAAAAATCCTACAATGTGATTTTCTGGAGAAAAAAAATCTCATTTTGTCTGTCATAGTTGACGTGTACCTATGATGAACATTACAGGCCTCTCTCATCTTTTTAAGTGGGAGAACTTGCACAATTGTTGGCTGACTAAATACTTTTTTCCCCCACTGTATATATATATATATATATTACACTGACACTCTCATACAAAACCCACACACCACACACACACACTTTCACACTCATCATATGCTGCTGCTACTCTGTTTTTTATTTTAGTCTTATTATTATCTATTCTGATGCCTAGTCTTTTGACCCTGCCTTCATGTACATACTGTATCTTCCTCAAATACCTTGTACCCTTGCACATTGATCTAGTACTGGTACTCCCTGTATATAGCTTAATTCTTGTGTATTTTATTCCTCTTGTGTTACTATTTTTATTTTTATTATTATTTTTAACTCAGCATCGTTGGGAAGGGCTCGTAAGCAAGCATTTCACTGTAAAGTCTACACCTGTTGTATTTGGCGCATGTGACAAATGCAAATTGATAAGTGTTTGGTGTTTTCACACCTTTCACACAAGAGAATATGAGTAATATAAAGTTGATGTTCAATGTCATGTCTCAGTTAAATTTTATGATTGAAATTACAAACCCACTCTGTGAATGTATGTTTTTTAACATGTAGAAAATCATAATTAAAGTATGCCTACATCAATCCCTTGAATACCATAAACATCCTGTCCCTGTCAAATACTTTTAGCTTTTATTGTTTGGTCTGCTAGTATAATTCAGTCCTTAGTTGTTTTTGATTATTTTCATCCAAATGGCATTGCCCAGATTGTATATATACTTTTTCTCTTGATATGTTTTTGTTTCTTCTTGCTTAACTTTTTGCCTGCATGTAAGGAAGAGTGTCTAAAGTGATTCTATTTGAAAAATGATATGCAAATAGAGTATATTGTAAAAATTATCATGAGATATAGTAGTAATTTGTGTCTGAATTTTGTGCAAGAATATGCCAGATAGAAAACATGCTAGAAATCACAGAAGAAAACAGGACCTGGCAGTTTGTCTGTGGTTTTTAAGCATGTGACACAGAATAGTATGTCTAGAAGCATTGAGCTTGCCAGCCAGACACACAGAGCGCAAGCAGTTGAGACACTTCTCTTTGATCATAGAATGGAGATGTATGACAACGACGAGTACTTCTACAACGATGACAATGACACTGACATGCTGTACAGTGACAGCTACAATCTAACCAACCCTGGGGACCACTCCAGCTCCAGACTATCCTATTCTCACATCTACCTGCCACTGCTTTATTTCCTCATGTTTTTCACAGGCTTCCTGGGAAACCTCTTTGTGATCGTGGTCATGGGCAGCAGGGGGAAGAAGGGTGGTCGTCTGGTGGATACATTTGTGGTTAACCTGGCGCTGGCGGACCTGGTGTTTGTCCTCACCCTCCCTCTGTGGGCCGTCTCCTCCAGTCAGGAGGGACACTGGCATTTTGGGTACCTCCTCTGCAAACTGAGCAGCTACATCGTCTCTGTCAACCGCTTCTCCAACATCTTCTTCCTGACCTGCATGAGCATGGACCGCTACCTGGCCGTTGTGCGCCTCATGGACTCCCGCTTCCTCCGCAGCAGCCGGTGTGTGCGTCTCACCTGCGCCGTAGTCTGGCTGCTATCCCTGGCTCTGGGTATCCCCTCCCTGGTTTACCGTAGCGTACGTACCCCCAACGGTGAACCCTTTTGTCTGGAGGACGAAGAGTCGTCTTTCTTCCTGGGTCTGAGCCTGACCACGATCTTCCTGACCTTCGCCCTGCCGGTGCTCATCATCCTCCTCTGCTACTGCTCCATCCTGGCCCGCCTGCGCCGACACTGTGTTGCCGCGGGAAACCCCCGCGCGAAAGCCCGACGCCGCCACTCTCTCAAAATGGTCTTCATCATCATTGTGGCCTTCGTGGTGTCTTGGCTTCCCTTCAACGTCTTCAAGACCATCCTAATTGGTTTCAGGCTGTCTGGGGCCGATCTGAGCAATGAGACCCAGACTGTCCTGAGCCAGGGCCTCACTCTCTCCTGCTGCTTGGCCTTCCTCAACAGCTGTGTGAACCCGGCCATCTACCTGTCCCTGGATCACCA